ACACCCACACCTGCTGATAGGAGAAACATGGTCAAAGCAAACAGAAAAAACATTGTGTACTGTGTAGTAAAGCTATTGAAGAGAGAGAAGTTAGGAAAACTCTTATATGATAAAAATACTCTAATATAATGTATAAAAAGATGTCAAAGAGTTTATATTTGTAGTATAAACTCTTACATAAGAATATGAGGAATAATGATAACTTCTATATACATTTATGCACATTATTCTAACAGGTGGGCTGACCCATCTGGCGTTTGCTGGTCTTGCCATCCTCAGCTTCAGTGTTTGTCTAGATAATTGTCATCACGTCGTTTTAGTCATTTTCATGCTCACTAATATTTGATTATGATTGGATTAGGCTAATTTTCCACCTCTGAATATTGACATGTTTGAACCGGTTACTTAATTAGGCTCCAAATTAGCATTTGCATAATCCAATTAACTCATCAGAGTTTGGTGCATTCGTGCATCTTAATAGGACATGTAAGTAAATGCACAGTCTAATTTCTTTAATCACTTCATCAGTTTTCCTGACAGAGGCATCCTGAGCGGGGCGACACTCTGAATATTTAAAGACACAACTCAGGTGACTCAGCGCTGAGACTGCACGGCTTTAGGTTAGATCGTTTACATGCACATGCACATCATGCACACGGACCTTTTTAACAGGCAGAAACTGACGTCGAACTTTCTGATAGGGCTGGGCGATAAACCGAAAATTTACCAATACCATAATTTTCCCTATGTCAATTCATCCGTCAAAAATAAATAAATAAAAGTTGTTTTTGGACGTGTGTAGGTAGGCTATGGTCTCATGTCCCTTACGACAGAGACGTGACTCCACCCCATCTAGTTCGTAACAAAGAGGGAAAGACAGGTGAGGAGACGGAGGATGGTTCAAAAGTTGTTGCGGCTGAGGTGGACGAATTTATCGTCATTTAGGTGAACTGCTCAATATATCGTGATATTGATTTGAGGTTCGCCCAGCCCTATCTGGAAGCAGCTTAAGAAACAAAATATTCACTGATTTTTTCCCTAACTCGATTTTTTCATCATCTTAGGGGTGGACAATACAGTGGCTTTAGTCGGCTCTAGATGTCAGTGTCGAGTGGATAGAGATAGATGGAAATAAATCCAGTGCAGACAATCATCAATTCGTCTCTTGAGGCTCGTGTTGTCCAATTTCTGAGCGATCCTTCCATGCCGCGACCCACCTATCAAAGCGACATCGATTTATATTTCACCTTAAAAGCAGTGAGAGTCAGCCTCGTAGTTTTGAAACTTTAATGGAGTCTTTTTGTTTCGATATGTCTGCTGACGTCTGCGGCGAACACAGAGGAATCAGAACTGGTGATGAGACACCTCTGCCTGGATGATGTTCACACAACACGCGGCTGTTTTCTGTCTTACCTTTGTGTATCACAGCCTGACCTGAGTCTGAACTCTGCACCCATCGATCCCCATAAAGCCCTCCTCGGGTTTGACTACACCATGTGACTTCACCTCATGAAGGTCTTATTGATCCTCCTCATCGTCCTCACTCTTGGGTGTTATGAATTCTGCCCGTCTTTTCACTCTGGGAGCCAACAGGCAGACAAACTGGCTGTGGTTAGAAGTGGATTTTTGGAGTGATCCCAGGACTGATAGTCTTCTTTTTAGGGCGGTTCATTAGCAGCAGAGCTTATCAAGGTTAAAACATGCTGTGGCAGTCGAGTGACTCCCACCTTTACTCTTAATTACTTTGTCACATTTATCAGTGAGTCTGAAGGAGAAGTTACTCAGAGGTTTAACCTTATAACAGCTGGATGGTATTCACACTGTGTAACTGCAGTTTTAAAAGTGTCGTCTGTGGTCGAGCGCAGAGAAATCCAACATACTTAAAGAGTTAGAAAAACAAATGTTTGTATTAGACTTTTTAAAGCACAACAGGACACTGACGGAGTCTAAAGTGTCTTAATAATCCGAAAAACATAGAAAAAAGTAAATCACTTTTATGATAAAGCTGCACACTTTAACCTTGTTGTTCATGCAGATAATTTTCTCATGTCACTGGCTGATGTTGCCGACTGTTTCAGGCAATATTTGGAATAATATCCATTAGCATCAACTCTAGATTTATAAATGTACGCATGTCCGTTTGCTTATAGTTCAAGTTTCAGTATTTCTAAGCCAGTGCCATCGCAAAGGAGCAGTAATTTGTCACTATAAAGAACAGTATCTTAATATTTTTCTGATTTAATGAGGAAATGTCTCTAAGATCTTTAAATAATATCATGATTTCATATCATGCATCAGCTTCACATAATAAGAAGTCAAAATATAAGCTGACAATGTAAAAATAAAAGGTGGTTTATGGTCTTATTTCGGGTTAAACTTCTGGGAAATAGGAGGCTGTCAGTACCGCGTCCTGCAGCCGTTTTGCAGCCTGTGTAGCTCTGAGCATTAGGATCCACGGTGGTGCAGTAGATGGTAGACTCAGGGATTGGCGTCCTCCGCCATTAGGAGTTAGTAATGGCTTTCTTTACCGTCAGACAGGATGTCATTCGCATACACAAGCCTCCATGGCCTTTATTTTTGTTTGTGCGTTTGCTTGTGTGCAGAGAAAAAGACATGCAGGTGTGGTTAAGTGTTAAATCAGCCTCTGCGTCAGCCCCTCGTGGCATTAAAAGCTGCGAACATCCCTTCAACATGTCTGTGTGACACCTGAAGATGAACCCTGACTCTCACAGGAGTTCATTTATGAAGCACAAGAGTTTTTTTTCTTCTCCTCCTTCCGTCGACGCTCTGAGAGTTAGCGGTTCTGACAGAGCCATTGCTCCCCTGGTTGCTCTGCCGTCTGCATCCCCTGATCTGCAGAGACAGGGCCAAAGTGAAACAAGCTCCACACTCCAGCCCTTCAATTCCCTTCCCTGTCTCACCCGTCTCTCTCACTCTCTCTCTTTATCTATCACCCGTCATCACATCACATCAAAACTTAGCACTCTCTGCTGTCAAAAACTGCAGACATTTACAGACCGTCTCCAAATTCAACCACTTCGGACGAACCTCCATCGGCGTCCCGCTCCTTTGAATGCTGGATTTTCTCGTTGCATCGCACAAACACTTTAAAATACTTACACGACATTTTATCCTCCACGTCTCTGTGCTGCGACGGTCTCATCAGAACAACAGTAAACACTCCTGTTGATTCAGCTGCCTGACAGATTATTCCTTTCACACGAGGAAACACTGAGCTGACGCCGCTCTTTGCCTCTGTAGCTCTAACTCTCATCCTATCGTTTGCTTTTAATGTCAGTAGAATTGATTTTTTTCTTCCCTGGAAGTAACTGAATGACGCTTCCTCTGCCAGGATCGCTGGTTTGATTTCCATTGTGTGCTCTGATGACATTTAACGCCTCAGCAGAGCTTCACTTTTCATGTCACTCCAAACCAGACATCAGTTATATGATACCATATACCATATCTTTATAGGCTGTAATTTTCTTCCTATCACTCATCCCATCTTGGTTCTTTTGGTGGGATCCAGTCCCAGACCTTGAGGCTGACATTTAAGTCTGAGGGTCTGCCAAAGGTTTACAACCCATCTCTGAAGGACTGGAAGATTTCACTGCAACAACAAGTCCCAAACAAAGTGCTGCTAACTATTGAGAGATTGACGTATTTCATCACTTTGGTTTATTTTTCAATGGAAGTGTCCGTATTAGCACTAAGCTGAACTGAACTTAGTTTTGGAGCCAATAAATCCTCAATAATCCATCACAGCACCATAAAAAAAGGTTTTTACAGTATAATACCGTCAAACATTTGGGTAGAGTTAAGACATTTAGAAACAGAAAAAACAGTTCAAAAGTCAGGCAACAGACTTTCTTTCAGTGGACTTAAACACTCATGAGAAGAATACCTGAAAAAACACACGTTTTTACAGTATAATACCGTCAAACATTTGGGTAGAGTTAAGACATTTAGGAAGAGATAAAATAATTCAACAGTCATGCATCAGACTGTCTTTACGTTAACTCAAACACTCATAGAAAGAAATCAATACCAGAGAAAAACAAAACAAAACATGTTTTTACAGCATATTACCGTCAAACATTTGAGTACATTAAGGACATTGAGGAAGAGATAAACAGCACAAAAGTCATGCATCAGACTGTCTTTAAGTGAACTCAAACACTCACGGAGAGAAAGCAATACCAGGAAAAAAACAAACATGGTTTACCAGCATACTACCGTCACACATTTGACTAGAGATAAGACATTTAGAAACAGATAAAACAGAACAGAAGTCAAGCAACTGACTCTCTTTCAGTGGACTTAAACACTCATGGAGAGAGAACAATAACAGGAAAAAACAAACATGGTTTTACAGTAAAATACTGTCAAACATTTTTGTAGAGTTAAGACATTTAGAAACAAATAAAGTCATGAATCAAACTCTCTTTACATGGGCTCAAACACTCAAACAGAAAACAATATCAGGAAAAAAAACAAAAAAGTTTTTACAGCATTATACTGTCAAACATTTGAGTAGAGCTAGGACATTTAGAAACTGATAGAATAATACAGAAGTCCACACAAACATTCATGAAAAGAAAAAAATACAAAAAATGTATTTTTTTTTACGGCATAATACCGTCAAATATTTGACTTGAGTTAAGACATTTAGAAACAGATAAATTAGTACAAAAGTCAAGCATCAGACCTCGTTTACGTGGACTAACACTCATGGAAAGAAAGAGCTGAGAGCAACACATGCTCATTTGTCTTGAACACACACACACACACACACACAGAGTTGCGTGCCTTATCCCTCTGAGGGGGGGCCACACGCTCTGACAGCTCCATATTTCACCTCATGGAGCTTCAATAGTCCTTTTCAGTCCGGTCAGGGGCTGCGCAAACTGCCCCAGCAGGTATCCTATAGCTGTCTGGGGAGACAGCAATAAATAAGGCCACATAGTGTTTAATAAAACAATATGAAAATATTGTCTTACCCGTAATAGCTCTGCAGACAGGAGAGGGGGATAAATCAGGGGGAGGACATGGCTGCGGTCAGGCGTTTCCTGCAGCTCCCTCCCTCGTCTTATTGCCCTCTTTCCTCTTCAGCAGGGCAGTGAAAAACGATCATTCCTCATTTTCCGTCTCACCGGGCAGGATGGGTGTACATAAAGGCTGAACTCTGCATTGACCAGGTGAACTTTTGAGTCTGTGACAAACGTGACGGTGAAATTTTATTCCTTTTTAATCCGTCTACCTCAGATTGAATATCTCAAAGTGAACTGTAGGGAAACTTTTAAGAAGTTCATTCTTTTCTACATATAAAACATCTCTCCACAGCCTTGAATCCCTGAATTATGAAACCTTGAGTTTCCAGACCTTTTCCTGATACTTCACCGATTCCCTTTTCGCTCCTCTTTCATTCAGCACTTCTTTTTCAAGTGCAGGTGCTCCGTCTGGATCTAAATCTGATTTCTGTTTCATTACTCGCCTCCTCCTTGAAAAACAAAAAACTGTCAGTGATGTTTAAACACAAAAGCTTTGAGTAAATTTAATCCAAATGCATTTTTATTGTTTGCTAAACACTGACAGAGCTTCAGATGTTTCTAGTAGGCAGTGTTGCCTGTTTTTTCTTTAGAGACAGATGGATTTCAAAGCTTTATCCATAAGGATTTTGGTGGGAAAAGTTACTTAAGCATTACTTCGATTTTGTGGAATGGAGACAGTGCTGTGAAAAGAATTTTCCCATGGGGACAATAAAGTCCAAGTCCTAGTCTAAATTAAGTTTTAACCCGTGCTCTGGCACATCAAAAAGAAGTTCTTCTGCAAGTTTTGAGAGTCTTTCTTGAACCTCTAAGTTCACTTTTGTCCAACTTTTTCTAATGTCTCATTTCTAGCATGCCTGTTTTCATCTTAAATTCAAATCACATACTTAGTATTCCTCACAACTAATCTCGCTAACTTAATCCCTGGTTTTACACACCAACACGATCAGTTTGTCCTCCATTTTAGACACCAGTAAACAACCTTACGTTTTCTTACCAATATCTGCTCAAGTTGAGTCATTTTCAGCTCATGCCCAATTCACATCCTTAGTGACGTCTGAGTAGTACAAGTGTTGAATCGTGTCTTTGCATTGACTTAACGTGATTCATTTGCGTGAAAGATTTCACTCACGCTTGGTGTGTGGAGAGAGTTAGGCATAAACTTCACAACTATTAACTGGACTATGAACCGGCATTTGGATTTTATACCTTTACTTGGTAAAATCAGATGATTGTTGAAAGAGCTACACTGCTGCACGAAAACTGGACATTGCTGACTTTGCTCAGTGTGGTGGTTATTGGTCATTAGCCAACAAAATGGTAGCTAGTGAGATTAACATTACATAGAACTTAACAGTTGCATGAAAACTGCACATTTTGGACTTCGCAGAGTGTGGTGGTAATTGACTGTGCTTTTCCCTTTCAGATGCCCCCCAAATTTAAGCGTAAATTGGCTGCTCCATACCACTTTTTAGTCCAGGTGGAATCTCATGAGTATCTCAAAATGCTGCCCAACAAGCAATAATGTTTTCCACTTTAACCTACGTGGTTAATCCAAAGACAGCGACTGTCAATTGTCATGAATATACTGTCGTCTTTGCACCTCTCTCAGCTGTCTCCAGCCTCGATTTTTCCAGACACTTTCGGGATAAAAACCAGGATTCTTGTTTCTGGCATGTCCTCCTCACCTCCTGCTGGTTTATCACTTCAAACAGAGTCCATCTCTGATTATCTTTTTGAGCTCACCTCTCTGGCAGATTCCACTCCTCGCACCGCTCCAGTCATCTGTTTCGTTTTTGGCATCTGTTTCTTGGGAGAAGCCTCTTCCTGTTTTGGCTCCCAGCAACTTTGTGCAATGTGAACTCGGGCACCTTTTGTGTGAAACGTCAAGCTCCCAAAAATAACTGCACCAGGGGGGGAACAAACAGTCTCCATCCTGTACGTGACGTAACACAGGTCTGGAATTGATTCTCCCTGCAGCAGTGAGAAACTTGTCTCTGCAGGACGGTAGTTACTCCTGCATACAGCTCATAACACAACAAAGGTAATGCCGCGTCAAAGTGTCATGAATCCGCTCTATGGCAGCAGAAGACGACTGTAGCATTCAGTGCTGTAAATATGAAAGATTTCTTATGAATGAGCGCCGTTTCCTGTTGTAAAAACATTACCAGGTCAACATGAATCAATGAACCGACGGCGTGTGCCAGCTCAAATGGTATCCCATCTGTGCCACACAGCGGGGAGCTTCTTTCTCAAGGTGGGTCCCATGACGGCGCCCAGATTGGCAGCGCCGGCCGCCAAATGACAGCGCCAAGCGTCACGTGGGGCGGCAGTCTGTCGCTTTCCCCAAAGGCGGTCTTTCTTCCTGGAAAACGGAAGCGAGCAGGTTGGAGCTGGAGCAGAAGGACTGGAAACAGAAAGTGTGTATCTGTCCCTCCAGTCATGTTGAATTGGAAATGTGGGAGTGGAGGACACACACAGCTGCTGAGGTAGCCTCGGTCCATGCCGTCAGGATCCAGTCCAGCTCTAAATACCAAACTGTCTTCTGCGATCTGTCTCCACTTAGTCTTCCCTGTGATGTCCTGACATTTCTCCTTTGTTTGAATTTCTTTCATGTGGACAGCCGTTTCTTTATTTTACAGTCCTTTCACTTACATTATGTGCGTACAGCTGAAACCCGACGTGTTATACGATGAAAATCAGGCCCAGCAAGTGTTAGAACTCTATTTATGGCTTTAACTGGATCAAAATACAAGATTTTAGCACGTCTAAGGAATAAATTAGCACGTTTTCTAACAGGAAAGAGAAGTACTGTTGCTCACACAGTCTTTTCTTCCAAGAGGTTTGTTCCCATAAGTTTTCCAGGGGTACAGACTTCGAAATGTAAAAGTGTTCGATGAAAGCATTGGGAAACTTTGCTATTAAGATAATAAGAGCGTTTCACTCTTTGAGGACTGAAAAGTTCCTTGTCTTCAGAAGTTAATCTGAGTTGTTGGTGTCCCAGGCTTTCATGAGAAACACTCTCCTAGTACGTCAAGTTTTAAAGCTAAGTCACAGTTTGCAAAGTTTCGCTGTTGTACGTTGCATAAGGTGCATAAGGTAAGCTGTCCCTGGAAATGCTCCGATTTAAGCATTTAATAAACAAGAACAAAATTGTTGCGTGTAGACTAGAACAATTACGGTATTATTACAGTAGCCGAGTAGGTAGGAAGCATAAGCATGTTGCGCGCAGTCCTGAGCAACAGTTTTTATTGGGGGTTATTACGGGGGGTGTGCGCTGCTACTAAGTAGTACCCCTCAGCTCTGTATGTCCTTGGAAATCTGGTCACCTTAATGTTGCATTTCGTGATTTTTTGTTGGTGCAAATCCCGCTAAAGTTGGCGCAAACAAAGACAAGAAGCTCTGTGTTTCATAAATTTCTCTTTACGTTACGTTCAGGCAACTGTTTGGGATTTAACCCATTTTTTTGTTCAGGCATTGATATGTGCACTTTTGGGGTCCTAGAGCTGCTAGCGATTGTGGAGATTACCGAAATGTCGCGATCAAATACTAAGTTGATTGTTTTGCGCTCATGAAGAAGTGTGTATTGCTAACTTATTGTATATGTCGAATGAGTGTGTGTTTTTTTAACCGAGGATGGTTCATGATTTGCATAAAGTTTGTTTATATTTACCAAAGTTAGCACACTTGTTATATCACGTTGCTAAAGCTAACTAGCAAAGCTAATACATGTCTGTGATAGTGATGGGCGCGGCAGTTGTTTTAGATTTACTGAATCACTAGAATCAGTTCACTAAAAAGATTCGTTTCAGTACGTTCACTTAAAAGAATTGGTTCTTTTAATGAAACATTTGCGAACAACACAACACTAGTCTGTGAATCAATGTGAAAGATGAGCGCTGTTGAAACGCTGTTATGCTGTCAAAGAGGAAGAATACAAAGGGCTGAACTGCAAATTGTGTGTCTTGGCTTCACTCTCTAACTGGTGTACCTGAATGGATAGACATATTTGGCTCGTGGGAAATGCTGTCTTCACTCATGAAAAATATGCATTACCCGTTTTGCTCAAAAAGGGTCCACAGAATCAGCACAAGATGAGAAGTGTCGTTCTTGCATCCCGTTGTGCAGCAAATAAAAGCTCCTCCATGCAATGCAAAATCTAAAAAAGACTCATTTAGGCTTTTTCCTTTAGTTTGAGTCGATTCAGAGCAGGAATGACTGAAATATAAATATTTATTGTATTAAATCCGACCATAACACGCTGGAGTCCATGTCAGGAATCACTTAAACCCTCTGATTTAGGTTTTACTACATCTGGGTAGTGCAGACATGTGGAGTTTGGTGTCAGTGACTGTCAATCTCTGTGTTCACTCGATCAGATCCGTGTGAACGCTCACTGCAAAGATATCTTTAAACGAGTGAGATACTTCTGTTACTTCAGCAGTTTGCACCTACTTATTGAGAGAAACCCGGACTCCAACACACCCAGAAACACAAACAAACAGACGGTAGAGCCACTCTCAGAATATGCCAGTCACTTCTGCACTAAGTAACTGTAGATCTCTGCGGTCGGGAGGACCAAAGGAGAGGATCTGAGGCCGATGTGGTCCTCCAGGCCAAACCAGAACAGGCCTCCCTGCACCTCCTCTATCCCAAATAATCACCGGGCCTCCAAAAACCAGAGAAAATAACTTAATTGGTATGCTATTTGAATGTTTTTCCCAATGGCATGGAGCTTCTATAAATTATACATACTGAATTTCTCGACTCTCGAACCAGGCAGCTTTTCTGCAACCTTAATGAAAGCGCACTTTTTCCCAATTTTCCACTTTTTTGTTGTTTTGATAGTAGCTGTGAAAGCCTCATCATCCTGACAAGTTAACTATGTGTTTTCTTGGCCCTCCTTTGTAATAGTGCTGCTGAAATAACAGCGAGAAAAGAAAAGTGCAGCCAAACAGTAGGGGGAAAACACAGTCTGTCAAATTAAAGGCAACACAAAGACTCATTTGTGGAGAAGAGAGTGGAGGGGTCGTGAACTCGGATCCGGACAGACCGCAGCATAAATTCTACTCATGTGAACCCCCCCGAATCTCCGGCCTCCAACACCACCTTCCTAAAAACATCTTGACGTCAGAGGGATCTAAAGAAATACGTTTGGGTCTTTCCTCAGCCTGTCAGCGGCCATCCGTCTCTCTTCTGTGTCCTTAATAGTTTCTGACCACAGCAGCCAGAGGAGGAGCTGCAGCGGTGCAGCCGCAGGCTCACATCTGACCGGACTGGAAAACTCGCTCTTTTCCTCTAACTCCATCCGTCCTCTCGCTCCCAGGCCAAATGTAGCGCACCGGGATTTCTCCGTCAGTCTGTAATGGAGCGAGACTTGTGCTTTTTTAACCCCTGACCTGTGACCCAGCATGCAGCGGGACATTTCACTACAGGGGGAAGAGAGAGAGAGAGGACGTTTTTTTTTTTTTTTTTCATACTTTGAATTCATAAATTTGTGCCTCCCCGTGGCGACAGCCAGGTCAGCCGGTTGTGACCCTGTTGTTGCAGAGCAGTTAAAAGTCTCATTAGCAGCATGAGTCACATGCAGACCAGCTCAGCTCTCAGGGTTTATGACTTAAAAGCTGGACTCTGGACCTTTACCGATCCTCCTCATCTACAGCTCATAGCTATGGTGTCCATTGTGTGGAGACCCGGGCGTATGTGCATAATGTGTCGCAATATCTCATTTACAACAGTATAATGAGTGTGAAAGCAAAGCTAAGGAGCCTTGAAAGAGACTTAAAGGGGTATTTCAGCATTTTTGATGTGAGTATATAAGTCACGATGGATGTTAGGAGTGCTACCATGCGACTCTGTCATGTAGTTTCTCTCATTTTAAAGCTTTTCAGCACTTTACCACCAGAAAGCCCATTTATTTGTAGTGCATGGGTCAGAGTCTCGCAAAATGAGCCAAATGTTGTTGCAAATTCAGCTGAAAATGGTCACACACTTGCATCCAGTGGTTTCCCATTTGGCCGAGCACCCTTTAAGTGCAAACATGACCCAACCACTCCCTGACATCTACACCAAATTGTGTATGTAGAGTTGTATGAGAGTACGTCTGGCATAGATATTCACCTCCTGTGGGGTTCATGGAAATACTAGGATTTAAAAGTCCTGAAATCATCCAGAAAATGTCTGGAGGTCATGTGCAAAAACCTTCCAACACTCTAAATTCAGTCTGCTGTATTGAGAGGAGCAGATATGAGAGGGAGCTTCAACCACGGGTGATTTTTCCTGTCTGAGTCCTTGTCGATTCCTGCTCCACAGCCCCCATACTGATGCCCTCAAACTCGGCGTGTTTGGTTCACAGAGAGTTTGATTGATGAGCTCTTGTGCTGATGAAGTGAACTCCCTCTTATTTACATGCAGAGATGATCTGGAAGTGTCTCCGTCTCCGGATCTCTCACCTTCTCTGACAGCTGATAGTTATGAAGTTCGAACCTGCACGGTCAGCAGAAAAGCTCCTCGACAGCTTAGAGTAAGCCGTACTTTTTCATGCCAAGGTTTGAGTGTGTGGTTTTGGCACAGGGTGGCTGAGCCACTGGCGACCCTATCATGAGCATTTCTCAGCGTTATGTTATCGTACGGGGGGGATCGGCCTGTGGTCACGGCTGGAATAACCCAAATATTTACCATCAGCTTTCAGTATGTGGTGAGTGGGCGCTGCAGATGGTGGGAGGCCATGTTGGTTTGAGCAGCGGGAGGCGAGGTAGCGAGTCGTGAAGAGGGTTAAGGAAGCGGAGTCTGTAATTGA